GGATCAGTCCTCCTCCCCAACATCCTCCACCTCAACATCACCATCTTCCTCCTCAACATCATCACTCTCAACATCCTCATCTTCCTCCCCCTTGACATCATCATCCTCCACCTCATTTTCCGCAACATGATCATCATCATCATCATCATCATCATCCACCTTATTTTCCGCAAGATTATCATCCTTTTCATAATCCTCCTCAACATGTTCATCCTCAACATCATCATCATCCTCCTTGTCAACATCATCATCATCATCCACCTTATCATCATCCACTTCATCTTCCGCATTATCCTCCTCATCCTCGTCATCATCAACATCATCATCATCCACCTCATCATCCTCAACATCATGGTTCGCAGCATCAACAACATCAACAACATCATGCATTCTCCTCCCACTCCTCCACACTGTTTGGGGTCTCTTGCCGGGATAATTTTGGATAGCTGAATCAAAAGGATGCCTGGCAATAACTCAGCAGTTCTAGCAGTAATCTGAGTACTGTATGCGGGTTAAAATTAATGACTTGCAAAAAACGGATAGGTTCAGAGGATTTCAGATCTTCAAACCGACGCCCATTTGTGGGATTCATCGGCCCCCCAAAGGCTTCAACATCCTCATCCGTAATGTGGACAAAGCGAATCATAAGACACCCAATTGAGACATGGTTTTAAACCATTGTGCCATTGGGGATGGTTAACTATGGATAGGATATCCTATAATCATCCCAACAAACAATATCAAACAATGTAAAAATAAAGACAATTTTACCACCCCCAAGCTTCCCAGAATTTACCACCCCCAACCCCCAGCTCCATCCAGCCCCCCCAAAAAAGGACCAGGAGAACGGCGCCGATTTGAACAACGGCGACACCTTCGGCGAGGATTGGGCGCTCCAGAGCTGGAGCTACGAAGATGCCGTGAGGGCCAACCGACGCCTGGCGCGACGGGCATCCTATCATCCAGCGGCGCAATGGATGGCGCATGATGACAGTGGCTTGATGGGGGTGACGGATGGCTTACGGTGGATGGGTTGATGGAACATATGGAACCGTTGTTGATTTGCAAGGTGTTCGGCCGATATGTTGTACCATGTTGTACCCAGTCTTCCAAGAAACATGTTTTGGGGATGAAGCTGCCCCATAGCAACCGGTGCCTAGCACGGGCAAGGGGCAATCGCAGCCACAAAAAGACTTTGTTATCTGTTGAATTTCGGAAAAGGCTATACATATCTATACATCATTGATAGTTTTTTTTTAATGTTGTCCATGGTTAATCCCACCAGCCAGGTTTGGCGGAATTCTTCCAGCCTCTGGTGTTGCAGTGAGGAGGATTTGGAACCGTCCCTCCAAGCGATTGGAGTTGTGATGGAGCACCCCCCCTGCACAAAGGAAATCCATGGAGAATCTGTCCGTTCAAAGGTCCAGCGACACCTGATGTTGCTGTTTGGGAATCTCATATAGTGAATGTTGACCAGAACTGTTGTTGGATGTTCCGTAACACAGCAACCTGGTAACCTGTGTCCAATTTCCTGGAAGTTCCTTTGCTGCACGTTGCTTCCATGTGATGGTGCTCTTGATTCCTAGGTGCTTAGGGTACAAAGCCCCGGTGCACAGAATTCGATTGTGCATATTGCATGACGCGGTGGACCTTTCACCGTTTCAGACCCAGTACTGACTCCCTCTGGTGTATTGGCAGCCTGGCAGCCTGGTCGGGAGATCCCAAACAGATCGTTTCGGAGTTGCTTCGTACCAGTACTGGGTTAAGCAAAGTTGAATAAACTTTATTCGTTTCAGGTTCCAGCCAAGTTGAGGTGTCATGGTCATCCAAAGCTTCATCCATGCATTCTCTGCCACAGGACCAGGAAATGCTGAAAAATCACAGGAGTTTCAAAAAGAACTGCGTGCGAACTGCGGACCTCTGTGCCCCATGATGTTGCGTTGCTGATGCAAAAATGGATCAACTTGGATTGTGAAGCCTCAGATTGACTTCTGTAAACCAGGGGTGGTAGAGCGAACCACTGATCGGCCGAAAGCTGCTTGAGGTCTCCTCTCTTTCCCTTTCTTTCTCTGACTATGTGTAATGTAGTGTTGTGTTATGTAGTGTGGTGTAGTGGAGTGTAGTGGAGTGTAGTGGAGTGTAGTGGAGTGTAGTGGAGTGTAGTGGGTTGTAGTGTAGGGTAATGTAATGTGGTGCAGTTTTGTGTAGTGTAAAGTAATTTAGTGTACTGGAGGAGTGTAGTGGAGTGTAGTGGCGTGTAGTGGCGTGTAGTGGATGTGGTTGTGTAGTCGTCTTTGTATATGTAGTGGAGTATAGGGTAATGTAATGTCGTGAAGTGTAGTGGAAGGTTGTGAAGTGTAGTGTAATTCGTGTAGTGGGGTGCACTGGATGTATTTGTGTAATCGTAGTTGTAGTTGTTCTTGTGTCGGGGTGTAGTGTAGTGAAGTGAAAATTAAAAGAAGGGGAGTTACGTGTTATGTAGTGAAGTGCAGTGGAAAGTAGTTTAGTGTAATGTAGTGTAGTTGAGTGTGGTGTAATGTAGTGTAGTGTGTGTAGTTGTATAGTTGTAGTTGTAGTGTTGTGTAATGTATTATAGTGTAGTGGAGCGTAGTCTAATGTACTATAACGCAGTAAATCGAACCGTGATTTGAACTTCTAAAAAAGATCCGCACCCTCTATTTTTTTGTACTTCCAAATGTGCTTTACGCTACAAGGGCGTGTAGTGTTTCGAAATTTTATTTTCTAAAGGTGGTTTTACATTGGTGTATTTTCCATATTTTGCCTTGGAAATGTACTTCGCGCTACAACCAGATGTAATTTTAGAAAGTTTTACTTTTTACAAGTGGTCACCCATCAGATCTTGACTTTTTTTAAATGTTCTTCGCGCCACAAGGGCGTGTATTTTTTCATTTCTGATCTCTTCGATTCCTCAGGTCAAGATGCAGAAACAAACTTGGAGACACTCCGTGACCGCACAGGCATGCAGGGGTAGAAAGAACGAGATTCCTTTTCAGAAAAAACCCAAAATACTTCTGAAGATTTCTGAAGATTGAAAGAGGCTAGACAGTTTTCAGCTTTTTGGATGTTGACCTATTTTGATCCTGCAGTTGTCTTTATCAGTTTGAGGATGCAATGGGTCTTGATCAGTCGGAATGGAATTATTTCCCAGGTGCCTTGAACAGTCATCTGTTTTTTTTTCGTGTTCAAATACCTTAAAGTTTGCGTTCCTTTGGCCCGATAATTTATGTGAGTGTGTTATGAGAACTTTGAGAGTGACCCACACGTTCCACCTTCGGCTTTTCGTAGGTTTTCTGCATGGCTTTGTCAACCTCACATGCGCGAGGTCTCAGCTATATTGAATCTGCGGTGGATGTGCCAAGACAGACACTAAGCCTCCAATATTTCTTGATTGAAATCATGCGTTTTGGCCCTGAAAGGGTTTTGTTCTGTTAGTATGTTATGTATATTTAGATATTCTTTAAAATTAACTATTATAAAGCTCACAGTATCAAGTTTTTTCATATGTTTTCTTTTGTTATATATTTGTTTGCTCTCTGAACAGATCTGATTTCTTTTCTGTCTTGTCACAGTTTCCGGTTTGAGTTACCCGGAACGGTGTCATCAAACATGGCTGGAAAATTCCTGAACTACATGGAAATTGAACTGCTGGTAGGATGGGGATATTATGAGGTGGGAAAACCACGGAAATTGGGACAAGGACATTTTCCAGCAAACCATATTTGATGACACCGGCGGGTCAGGGAAAAAATTGGTCTCTTTGGGAAATTGCTGGTGTGTTGAAAAGTAAAACCGGTGCTGAGGCAAACGGGATTGAGATAGTGGGATTGAAAATGATTGTAAAATCCCATGAAAATCCTTGTGGTTTTAGGGGTTGTCTAAAAATGTTGGGGTTTGTATGGGTTTATCATCATTTGTGTCACTAAAATTGCAATAAATTTCGGTCCAAACCCCATTTTCAGAGGCACCCACTTAAAGGTCCGATGATGTCCGATGAAACATGTCCTGATCTTGTATGTTTGCTTTCTGAGGGGTGGCATCATGTGTAATTTGCAAAAGCAATGACGTTTGGCATCTGGGAAAATAGTTAAAACATGTTAAAACATCACCTGGACCCTCCAAATGCCTAGAAAAATGCAGTAATACACACCCATTATTTTTGGTGACGCTTAGCCATTCTTACGAGGGCCTGGAGGTTGCCGTTTTGAATCCTTTGAGGGGCATTGACTCACGGTTGAACAGACCTTGGGCCCCAACCTTTCAGCGCAAGGTCATTGGCGCGAGGCGATTCCAAAGATGGCTCGCAGAGGGATTTAACGAAAAAAATGTCTGCGCCGTCAGGGTGTCTTCATCCCATGGTTCGATGAAGGTGTGTGATTTTTCGAAATTCCAATGGACCATGGGATGAACCTCGGGGAGCTCCTGAGCCAGGCTGACGTTTATCGCCATGGATCTATTCTTGGGGGTCCCTTGTTGTGGAGTATTTAAATATGATCGGGCATGGGATTACTCTAATTTGTTCGACTGACCCAGCAGCTGATCAGCGGGACAAGTGACTTGTTTGCCCTGTGCAGTCAAAGACGTCAATGGAAGATGCTCAGAAATACAGATAGCCTGCCAATCACAACTGGCATTGTTTACAGATTTCAATACTTGGAACATTAGTTTTTCAAGTATATTAGAATTGGTTGAAGTGAGAATCTGCAGGAAACCCTAATATTATTTGGGAGTTAGAACAATGGTTTCAATCGTGTATTTTCCCTTAACTCAGCCCATTGAAAGTAGATGGTAAAGTGTGACAGCGCAAATCGCGCAGGGATCTAGCCGGGATCTAAGACTCTAACTGCCAAGAGTATTTGTTTAAATATAGCAACCCCAAAACAGATATTGACTTTTGATGATTATTGTAAAGTCCTATTCTTAAAACAGTGGTAAAACCAACCACTGTACTCCACTGTATACCTTTTTTGGGGGTTGCTATATGCATTTTGTTGGTGTTTTTCAGTGCGTCCTTTCGCCATGGTGACCCAAGTTGCGGCCGGTTTGCTGCTTGCCTTGACGCCGGCATGGGCGGACCCTTCATGTGTGGTGCATGGCATGGCGTATTCTCAGGAGAGCAGTGACCAAAAACATCCAAAAACCGTGGTTCTTTGGACACAATAGGGGAGTTAACCACTCGCAAACTGGGAATTTAATCATTAAGAACATGGGAATTGAATAGATCTTTATAAGAACTGATACATGATGGTTGCTTGATGGCTAAAGGGTGGTTTATACGGTTGGGAAAGTATCACAATCCATTTTCACAGGGTTTGGAATCTCGTTACCCACCAGGAGAATATGGCGAAGACTCCGAACGGCGCATTTCTGGCCGGAGCGTCTTCATGCCAGAATTCATGCAGGTTGACCGTGTATTGCCACTACTTCACATGGTATAATGATGCTCAGCTGAGTCAGTTCTGCAGAGCTTGAAATTTTTGTGGGGATTGGGGTTCACAAACATCAGACCGAGGGGAACATAGATTTCAATCTTCAGTCGTTCTTAGTATTATATAACTATAGGGATGCAGTTGTAAATAATAGTTATATATAGTTATATAATATCACCATTATAACTGCATCCTATTCTTGTGGTGCCCTAATTTGGACTACCCACAGCAGTTCCCAGCATCACTTCCTGGGAATCGGGCCGCTGACTGGCATGACGTGGGTGTTTCGGAAGCTTTCAGGAGATTCCTTTGGAAAAGGCAACCCCAATTTCTTTATCGAAGGTCTTGGATTACATCTTGGCCAGACTTTCCTTTTTGGAATCTCCTGTTCTTGATGTATTTCTAATATTTTCTAGTCATTTCTAGGCGTCTTCCTGTTTTGCAGAGGCTTTTGCCATGTTAAAATACATTAGATTCTTTGGAAAACTGCTTGCCATGAAGGAAAATGTTGGTCACTCATCGCACACGTCCTATGTTGTCGACTGGTCACCCATTGGCCCCAACTGAGGTGGACATTGGTAGATTGAGATTTGGAATCCCTGTCTCACACCCCTGTTGATCCCCATTGATCCATTTGTTTTTCCAGTTGAGTTTGCCGAGTACCCCGCAGCTCCCATCGAGTTTTACTGGACCTCATTGGCGTCACCAGATGTCAGAATTGGTCCGAGTAGTAAGTGGGTTATAACCCTAGTTATAGGTGGATTAACCCTACTAATACTTATCCCACTTATAATTGGGGTTTTAACCTACTTACAAACAGGGATGAGCCACCAAGTATCAACTTATCAACCCTTGAAATTCCTTGGGTCTTTGACATAAATGCCCCACATTTTCGCATAGCATAGCATGGCTCTGAGGATTCCACGGCCTGTTGGCTCTTCGGGGACCAAGCCACGTTGGTGGCCAAAGCGAATGCCACCAGCGGCCCCCGCAGCTGCACGGCCGAGACCGCGACGCCAACGGTGGCGCCGGCGGTGGCGCCGGTGGAGCCGGTGGTTCCGGCCACGGTGGCGCCGGTGGAGACGGTGGAGACGAACGCCACCATGGCGTGGCGTGGTGGCAATAGGTTGGTGGTGGTAGTGGAAATGGATGGAAATTAGGGATCTTAGATAATCTTTTGAGGATTTTTGATGATCTTTGATGATCTTTGATGATCTTTGATGATCTTTGATGGGGAGATATTTTGCACCCAGTTGGTGGCGCAAAGTGTGTGCCATTTTTGGAATATAACTTGGGCGCAAGCGCCCTCAATTTGGGGTCAACATCTGAGACCGTGAGCTCCAACCATCCCAGAATCCCATGTTTTTTTTCGTGGATACCACGAAGCCAACCAGGAAACTGTTGGAAGAGAAGTTTAAAGAAGTGGTGAAGAAGGCCGGCCATTTGGCCTCCGCTACTGGGCAGCAGTTGGTGACTGGTGTTGCAGCGATATGAGGGAAGTGGTTACTGGTTTTTACCTGGAACTGAGCCACCTGGATAAAGAAATCCCCATAGAATAGCTGAGTTCACTGTTCACGATTCATTTTCCTGTGTGCATTGCCATTATACCAAGCTGAACAGCAATTGTCTTGCCGTCTAAGTAATGCTGTTGGATGTTGCAGGGTCACGATTCGAACCAGCTTTGTTAGCTTCAACTTGCCTTCCCGGAAGCAAGGACGTTCACAACTTTGGGGTTTGAAATGGAGTCATGTGCGGTCATTTTTGAGTATCAAGTATCCACTTTGGGAGTCATATCTCCACATCCCCCTAGTGTTCTCACTTGCTTTCGCCATTTTGTGTTGGCTGAATGGGTGTTTTTGTTGCTCAAAACGCCCAAAAGTTTCCTGGTTTGGTGCTGTAAGGGTTGGGTCTGGTGGAAACCATGGAAACATGAGAACGCAAGAAACTCAATCAATATTTATATATATATTATGATATTATATGTAATGTATTAAAACCTGGTAAACCCAATAGTAAACCTATCATGTGGAATGGTCTTTACCACCCATTTATTGTATGGTCTATGGCATCGCAGTATATTTGTGTGTATATAGTTTAGGTCCACCATCATATATATATATATATATGATGGCATCCACAATATTCATGTGGTTTGTCCTGTGTGGTCATATCCCTATTCCACAAATCACAATTTGATCAGATCAAAAATCATGATTTCCCATTGAATCCCCATCAACAAATAAGATCCTCCATTTCTACTTAGGGCTTCACCTCAGAAAGTGGCTTAGTTCACCCCAGTACTGGAAAAAATCCACTGCCCCACTTCCAGCTGAACTAATCCACTTACTGTGCTGATACTCCATTCATAATAAATCACATTAGCATACATTAGCTAGATTTAGATATTGCTATTGTTGTTTTATTTTTTTTGTAATTTACATATGTCACTTTCTATTGAAGTTAAACATGTGATTTTCACATCCCCAGCCATCCCCGATCCCCCAGGTCATCAAGGCGCAGACCACGGATCCCAACGTCACCCTGAACGCCGACAAGGTGATCCGCGCGGCTCAGGTGGGAACGTTGCCGGAGCGCGAGGCGGTGCGCCTCGGCGGAGAAACGTCGTGTTACGCCAAAGTGGGAGAAAATCTGGGCAAAATCTGGGCAAAATCTGGGAAGGTCCTTGATTTTCGAACTTGGCCACTGAATGATTTGTAACTTTAAGTTTGATTCATGAGATTTTGGAGATGGTTCGGGGATGTTTACTGTAAGCAACAAAAAGGGGTGGTTTTATGGGATATGAGAAGCAATATGATATAATATGATATAATATGTATATAATACATATGCATATCATGTATACACAATACACATCGGTTTCGTCATTCAGAATTCGTACGATTTGGTTTTGATCCTTGAACCAAATGACGTTCAGCTTTTTCAGAAGACGAACATGCAAGATACCTTCCAGTAAACTGAGATAGATATGGAAAATCCACCATGAGTGTAGATCATGTCCCACACCCCCAACAAAGACAGAATTGGTTGGGAAAATCTGCCAGGAAATGCCGACAGTTAGGGTGTTTTATCCACACAACCATAGGTTCAACCGCTGAAATTCCATGAACCCTTAAATCGATCCATTGAAATTCACATTTGTTGATAATCATTTATTTTAATCCCCATGTTAATTGGTTGCACAATCATCACGTCATAAATAGGCCCCATTGCTGGTTGAATCCCCTTTTTTCCCGAGGTATTCCGTGTTCAACGAAGCCTCAGCCACGTTGCCATTGGAGGAGGCTGAGAAGGAGAGTGTCCGAAATGAAAAAAAACACATTTTTTTAGGTAAGTGAACCAACTCAATGGGCGATGTTTCATCAAATTGTTGAATTACCAGATGATACCGTCCATTTATCAACAACTGATAGATGCTGATATACTGGGATATTTTATTGGAGATTTGATGGGATAGCTATGGGAAATCGCCCATGTATAGATGCCATAAACAATGCTGATTTCCCACACAGCAAGCTGTTAAATTACCAGAGGGTTATGTAATCCCCCAAGGGTACTTCCCGCCTTTGCGTCACAGGAGGGAATTGTGGTGACTGCAGGAGATCTAGATGTCATCAACAAGGCGGCCGGCTGGCCAGTGGATTTGGATGGATCCCCGCAAACATCACAAAAACAAAAGATGAGCCATCAGGTATAATTCCCCAACATTTAGAATTAGTTGGCCATATTAAATACTCAACAGAAAAGGAAAACATGACCTAAAGAAAAGCAGAAATCATATGTACATACATACATGTATATATGTGTGTGTATAATGTTTTCGTGTGTTTTTCCTCATTTTCCGCCAGTTTCACGGCCACGTTCCAGGTCCAGCACTTCAGCAGCTTGGAACCTGCCGAGGAAGGCGTTTCCTACGGCGTCGGCGCGCCGTGGACGGACGCGGTGGTGCCATACTGCTTCCGACCGGGTCACTTGGTGGTTAGATGATTGGGATGCTGAGTTTCTTCAGTTACAGATGGGATGTATATATATATATATGGGATATGAAAGGGGTATATATGGGATATATGATATATATATATATATACATACATATGGGATTGGCATTAATAGGATAACTTGGTGATGGGTTGAGGATGTCCGATGGTATGAGATATCTATATATATATCTATAGCCTATGCCTCTGAACCCGCCATTGCCCTGTAAACGTTGAGTTATGAAACCTCGGGATCGGACTTGGGGGCTCCAACCCGTGATTCACTCGAGACCAATGATGTTTGTTTTCATTTTCTTATGTTTTTCACCATATTGGACTTTAGACACTATATCAAACCAAGGCAGAAACAGAAGTAGTACACCCAATATTACACCCTCCAATCTTGAGGATCGTTTATACCACTCATTTCTGTTTATGGGTTTACACATTACAAGTTCCAAATTTGGGATAAGATTGGGTCAGAACTCAAAAAATGGATGGCTTTGGTACAAAAAAATCGTTAATCGACCCCCTTTGCATCTTCGGCTGAGGTATCAGTTACTCATCCATGCAGGCTCTGCATAGATGCACCGGGAACTGTGGGGATTTGAAGGATTTGAGCCAGAAATGATGCTTACTCTAGTAGTGGGCTTGTACCAGAAGGTTTACGGATATTGCTTCCACCAGCTAACCCCAGGGCGGGAGGATGAACTATGATGAACTCGTTGGCCATTTGGATTCCAACAGATCCATGGGTCAGACATGTTCACAAGTTCTATCAGGTTCTATCCGTCTACCCGATTTTTTTTCATGAAGTCCCCATGTTTCATCATGGTTCTATCAACTTAATTTGAACTTCTATCAAGTCCTATCCTCAAAAAAAAGGATGAACTCCCCAGGATGAAGTCCTATCATGTTACGGACCTTCCAACCGTGGCAGAATGTGCAGCGGGCCGTTGCCATCATTCAGCAACTGGTGCCGGGCATCAAGTTCAAGCTGCTGGGAACCAAGGGTCAGGCCTGCGAGGACTGGAGAGTGGAAGCTGGTTGAAAGGTGCAGGGGGGCAGGCCATGGAAATGGATGGATCGATAGGAGGCAATGGAAATGGAGGTGTTTTTGTTATGTCATATCATATATAATATGAATTATATAGTATTATTGTATTGAGATATATATATATATATATACATATATTTATTTATTTATTTGTATATATATATAGTATATTGCATCAACGTAACAAACATTATGTGGATGTATTTGCCAACAAATATGAGATGGAATTCTGGGGAGAGCGCCTTTTGAAAATATGCACTGGGCGGCTGCTCTGGCAGTTCCTTCACTATGCCTTGAAATTCATCATTTGATCCACTACGAATACCCCTTGTTGATGTATGAAACAAGTAGGGGGTTATTCACCTACCTGGTTTATTAGGGATGATTGTGAGCCATCATAAGGATACAGGCCCTATCAATCATAGTTGGATGGTATAAGGGTATTTTCATGGCTCATTTGAGACCCTTAAAAAAAATTGTCTTCGGGAAACCCTGCTTGGGCAGACTGATGGGAGCTGAGCCACAGCTGCTTGGGACAGGAATCTCCATCGATCCTTGCGACTGATGCTGAGCAGGCCCTTTCGGGGTGGATCGGTGAGTTCGGTGAGTTCCGTGTTGATTTTCACACTATGCTGGTGGTTTGGTATCCACAATCTATAGTAGTCCTTTGAAGTTGACCCATATTCCAGACACAGAGCGCCCTTCGCAACTGGCTCGGGATCAGAATTTCAAGTGCCGAAAAAATCCATGTTTCTTGATTCCATCCCCACGAAATTCTTCACGAACACTGCCAGAAACCATCGATTGCCACCCCAAATCTGTGGTTCCGACATGCTCTCAGGGATGCTTCTCCGACATTGGGATGAAAAGCCAATTGCTTGGTGGGAGCCAGGCCACTGGGCTCTGAGATGAAGTTGAAGTTGACTTGGGATGGTGATGATCGTAGTTTTGTAATCATTCGGTTATTTAATTCATATTAATTCTATGTTGATGTTGCTACAAATGCATATCATATGATTTCTAATGTTATATGTAACAGACATTTTTGTTCGGATTTTTTTATACTACGAATTGATATGTGTGTTCACTCCAATTTAGGTGGTGGTAATTGATCCCATACAGACCTGGCATTCCACTGGTGCTTTGACTTTTTCAAGCAGTTTTCCCAACTTGCCCCAGACGCTGAACGTTCCGTCGGTTTGTACCTTGGGAGTGGTGCTTCACGAACTGTGTCTTGGCCACCCATATGAATTGATGGTTGAGAAACCACCTATAAAAATGATGATTTTTGAGCTGGTTTATGGCATCGCTTTACCTACATTATGGGCCATTCTATTGTGGTGATCACTTCTGGAAGAGGATTTTTCTGAGTGATTGGATTCTTAGGGTGAGAGGACATGTGGGAACTCATGGTTTGTATCGGAACTTGATGAGCTAGAATGCCTCCTGGGGGTTGGAAAGTGCCAGCCAGTGCAAAGGAAGACAAAGCTGTCACAACAGGCCACATGACTGTGTAATCCGTGTTTTTTTTCCACATTCTATCGGCTCTACATAGTTTTACCATAATTTGTCCCTTCGATTACCGATAAAAAGGAAAACATCAAGCTGCATCCCCTGCTCAAAAAGAAGAACTTGTTGGAACTTGACCGAAATGCGAGGTCAACATAAATATCTTCGTTATATTCGTTGATATAAGACCAAGCAGTTTCAATCTCTAACACCGCTTTCTACATCACCATGTCACGGTTCGAGCCCGCATGAACTGGGTGGTTAACGCTTGACACTCGATTTTTTTGTGGGCATTTCCAGCCAAGATGAATTCAAGATCGTTTCTAACCAAATCGCGATTGTGGATCTCTATATCATATCTATATCTAATAGATATATATATATATATACGTCAAGATCTACATCTATATCGTACATATACCTCGTTGGTGGTTTGGATTTTTTTAATTTTCCATATATTGGGAATAATCATCCCAACTGACCATATTTTTCAGAGGGGTAGGTATACCACCAACCAGTTTATGTCTACATGCAGCATGCATATATATATATATATATGTATATATATATATATATACAACATATAGACACCCCCAAAGGTTGATGGAAAAGCTGTGCCGGGAACAGCTGCGCTGCAGGTTGCATGCCCTGGGGATGGCACATGAACAAGCACGGCCGGATCGGGACAACTACATCAGGGTTATGTGGCAGAACATCAGACCTGGCATGGAAGGACAATTTCAAACGAACTTTGGATGGCAAATGGATGGCAAATTGGGAGATGCTAAGTATTGCAGACGTTCCTGTGCATCCCGTTGCTGAATTGTTCATGGTTGTTGCAATTGGCTGTATACTTGTGGTTGGAGCTGCTGGTGCGGTCAAAGATGTAGCAGCAACGTTGATCAGTGTCCAACGTTACGAGTCGCGTGCATCGCTTGCGAGTCGAGAACGGTCGCGGATTCCCAGTCCTCGTTGGATGACGGCTGAGGAACGGCGCCGCAGATACAGCGCGACCTTATGACCTTACATCTATCATGCACTATGGCAGCTTGGCTGGTCTTAGTGATCTAAGTTGAGGAAAGCCCACAAATATGATGGAAGTAGAAAATTGAACTTTGACTGAAAACAGAGGGCATAGTTTTTATCTGATGGGATGTGTAAAACTGAGAAATTCATATGGTTTTGTCCATTTTAGTGGGGGATTTCACCGAAGCGCTCAGGTCAGACAGCCTTCACCAAGAATGGACAGCCCACCTTCCTTTTGACTTCACAGGGTGGCTGGGAGTTGGGAACGTTGGGAAGCGGCAAAAAGATGTTGAACAGTAATTTACCCTTTGGTAATTTGTTACATGGCTATTGAAAATGGCTCATTTATAGTTGATTTACCTATTAAAGATAGTGATTTTCCATAGTTATGTTAGTTTACCAGAGGGTACCTTTATTTCATTAAGATTGTTCATGTCTCTATCTTGTTGGAGATTGCTATAGGCCCCAATTATCATCTCAGAGGCTATTTCTAACGGCTTCACTCGAGCCTATTTGACCTTTTTGCCTTCGCGTAGGCCAAGCTGCTTTGAGATCGAGTGGTGCTTCATCCGTGGGACAGCGGGAGGCGTGGCGGACCTGTAAAATTGTTCTTTTTTGTGGAACATATGATGGTTTCTGATTAAAGGGACCAGCAAAATTGCTAGCTTATGGTATGTGAATATGTATTGTGGTTAAAGTTATGATTTAAGTTGGAATTGATCAGTGGGGTTCATAAACTTAATTGGCAAACTATTTGGTGGGTTCTGGAAATTCCTAGAATGGTTTGGGCCAGATTGTCATCCAATTGACTGCTGTTCCCCGTCGTTTTTCGGACGCCAATATTTGAGAAGTCTTTCCATGCTCTTAGATATAAGAATTTTGGGTTCAGTTCTAGCGTTTTGGAAAACCCGGCACCAAGCTGAAGTTAATTATGAGCTTGCCATGCTCATTCTGTGATTCTTTGAAGGTCACCTGCAACCCACATAGTTTCGCAAATGGGTTATGAATGAATATTGTAGGACATGGACATCCATTGGTTCATGTGAGTCACAATGCCAGAAAAAAAATCTGAATCCCTGCTGGAAAGGTTTGCAAGTCAATTTGCCAAGATCATGCAAGCATGGGTTGGCACAGGCCAATGCCGAACCCCAAATTTGGGTCACCAACATAGACAATTCTTCCATTTGTACACTTGAGCACTTGCCCAAGATACCAAGTATTTCATTGGGATGATTTCCCGATATGGTGGTTTCTTATGGTTTCTTCAAATGTTTGGGGACCCCAAAACCAATGGTTTTTGTCAGGGTTTTTCCTCTTAAAGCCATCCTTTTTATGACACCACCATTATAAAAAGAGCCTGACGGCCGCAGACGCTGAGCCAACTGGACTTTGAACAGCTGGTCCACCTCTACAACTGTCCCTGGGCGTCCAGAATCGACCATTCTTATAGATTTCGTTGTGAAGACGAGGCAGTTTGGAGTATAGCAAGCCCAAAAGAGATAGGAAATGGTGGAATCCTGGAAGTATATATATATAATCCATACCATCCCCACATGTTTGGCTTATATGAAAAAGATTGTGATATCCTCCTGATAAATTATTCCATATTCCATCTTCAGTGATTCGAGGGCAGTGTAAAGGTCCTGAAGTGGAACAAAAACACTGACATCCCCAACAGCAAAGTTGGAGGAGATCTTGTGAGGCGGAAACTGCCATTGGAAGCTGTGTTTTTACTGGTGATACACTGGAAATTGAACTTAAGGTGTTGAAACACCGTCACGATTCCCATGTGTGAGATCGTTTTAAAAAAACTATGGCCTTGAAACTGGTCGTTTAATTCCAGTGGCAAGTCACAAGACCATTGAAGCCAGGCTTCTGCTGTTGAGGAATGCACCAGGAAGTTGAAAACAGGGTACCCCCAAGTTTGATGGTTGATTGTTTACCATCATTATCCTTATCAGAAGCTCATCATATTCTAGGGTCCATCACTCACATTTTTATTTTTTGGACTACAGCAACACCCAAAAACATAGAAACGTGATTTTCCACCAAAAATTGTCGTTAGTAAACCTTTCGCACTTGGTGGGCAGCTCCGGATCCCACCCTTGCTCCCAATTAATAGGAGTTGTTACTTGTCTTTTTGTTGGGGGTAGTAATTCATGGTGATAAATCCAAATCATCTAAGAATCATCCAATCAATCTGAGTCCGTAATCCATTTTTTATCCAACAATCATCCAATCAATCTGTTGTTCATAGTGAATGTAACCATCCAGGTCATCCAAACATGGCTCCAAGGTCAACGGGATGCCATGGGCCGATATTCTGAGTGCAGCCCAGTTCCATCGGGACCTGATCTGCTGGTCATTCTTCTTGGTGTGTTTCCTGGCTGACTATCATTGGAAACCATGGTTTTCCTGCTGGTTTCCTGGGTTTAAGGGAAAATCTTAACCGGAAACCATGGTTTTTACCATCAAATTGGTTGGGCTTTCCGGTGTAAATTTTCCCATCATCCAATTCTATGATACTAAGGTTGATTCCCTGGATCAAAAAGACTAGCCTGGCTGGTTGAATTCTAACCTGGGTGTAATGCTGGGCTTACTTTTGGCGAATCTGGCTGGTTGAATCTAAGAATGGGTTTAGTTGATTGGATTGAGAAAAGAACGGGATTTGTTCACCAAAACGGGGGAGGTAACCCATAAATCATGATATTTATGGCCAATCATGGGGTAAAAAACATAAAACCATGCAATAAGCACTCTCTAGAAACCCTGGTGCTAGTGGATTTCTACATTTTGACTTGTCTGATTTTGGATCCGGGCATGGGAATAGCAGCTGGCGGGTTTCGAGTTTTTTAGGATGCCCCTAGGGCAGGCCATCTTCAATTGCAATAGCGTGATGTTTTCGGAGGAGGTGGTCCTGCTGCCAAAGTCAGAGAGAATTTTTATCATGTCTTCATGGAGAAAGAAACAGGTATATACTTGCACCATATCACCAGGATCACGACCTTGCAATCGTGCCTCTAGGGCATTCTCGGGGCTCAGTTTAGGTCTGAGCACCCTTGGTCGAGTTCAAAAGTATAGGCCATACTTCATACGGACGCATACCTTTTTGGGTGGTTTCGCATGATGCTTCTTTTTCTGCAGACCAATTATCCCATGTCAAGCCAAAACAGGTAATTGATTGTTACAGACCATCACTCCATATTTGCTTTACATTCACTCAATGCTTGGAGCTTTGCAAATCCCATTAAATCACCATGTTTCTACATTTTTCTTGATCAAATATGATCAACATATTTCAATCATATCCCCAAATTGATTATACATACACTAAATTCTACCCCAGTTTATCACCACATACCAAACAATGTGTGTTGGTCAGGTCATAGAGCCCTCCGATCATTCATGGCTTGCTGGAAAATCCCCAATGGACTTCCAGGATTTTCCCAACTTCTTTGATGAACCGAGGATACTGACCTCTAATCACCAGGTTTTCTTGATTGAATACAGTATCCTCAAACATATCCCCAAACCATCACTATGTATTAAATGTTATATCCCATATAGTTGGGGGTGCAAGTTCCATTAGTAAGTGGCTTCCAGTCCACCATAGTTGTAGGGGCTATAACCCATCTCATGGAGATTAGCACGATACTTATACCCATAAATAGATTATGTTCCCGTTTAGACCTTCATTTATGAGGGATTGATTTACCACAATCCCATAGTTATACCCATGAATAACCATAGTTATGCTCATAAAACAACATGTTAAACCATAGTCGTATCCATTAATATTTAGAAACTATGGTTTAACATGGTATAACTGTAGATGCCACTAAATGTTTTATGGTATAACTATGGTATAGCATCTACAGTTATAGCCACTATATTGGTTCTATACCCATCTTATCTCATTTTGGCCAAGCTCTACCGAGGTTTGGTGGCCTGGCAGCCTGCGGTTGCGGCCTGGCGGTGGCCTATTGGTACTGCGGTCCGACTGCCCAGGGTTGCTGAGCCAGTGGTCCAGCCAGAATTTGGATGCGTTTACCATGAAAAACCATGATTTTAGCACCCAAAATCTGGAATTTACCATATTTTACCGTCATTTTCGATCCAAAAAAATGATGTTACACAAGAGTTGGGGCTTTTACCCTTGGAAATAGAAGATTTACGTTCAACTTTTAGCCATTTGTCATCATTTGTGGCCATTTGAAATTGGGAGTTTCAAATTGATGAAAATCCTCCATTATGGGAATCCCCCTTGAAACCAACCACCATTGTGGTGATTTTCCAATTAGTTCCAATAGGTTTTTGACACTGCTCATGAGGGTTGGGAATAGGTCCCTAATTCTTGGACCAGGAAAAAGCTGTCCATGCCGTAAATGGGTTGACCCTATTTCAAGGGCCTCTATGTTTGGATGGCTTTAAGGGAACCACATCCTCACCTGGAAAGATGTCCCAAGAAAAATCTGAATTTCCTGCACCATTCCCATGCCAAGCTTGTAGATGGTTGGTGTTACATATACCGTGTTTATGTTGGCTGAAGCCCGGTTAGTATCCCCCTTTTAGCAATTTTTGGTGACTGCCAAGGCAGACAGATGATGGGCAAGAAGAGGGTGGCAGGCGTTTCGGGGTTTCGGGGTCGGTGAATTTCATGGACGCTATGAGTTTCATGTGGTAAATCAAACGCTAGCCTTCTAGATGATAAGGAGATGGGACTAATAGACCTCCAATTGGGGATAGCAATTTCCCGCCTTTTTCTGGCAAAGATGGGGTGGTTTTGCTGAACATTATTGAGTTTACCACATTTCTTCTTTTAGGTTGTCCTCTCAAAAAGATGAAATCAGCTTCAAGTGTCAAAATTGGAAAAAAAAACACCATCAAAAATGGGTCCATAGGAACACTATGGCTACCCTCTGGGAAATATAGAATCTCATTGATAGCAACTATCTACAGTACAGGTTCATACAAACCTTTTTCTAGGAGCCCCTTATCAAAAACCAGACACCCTGATTGTTGGCTCATCCCTTTGAAAGGTATTCCCGTGGGCCACGGGTCAACCTTGGATACTTCCGACATAGGCTAGTTGGAATTGACCACATGACCTGTAAATTTCAGGACACATGTGACCAGCTTGAAAGGTAAAAAAACATGACTAGCAAACCAGAGAATCTCCTGACGGGGCCCCGGAGATAGTGTGACGGTAGTTGCACGTTGCCAAGACAGGAATAAGGTGCAAATCAATGCCATAGACCCCCAGTTTTTGATGGTTAATACCCACCTCTCTTGATATTGGGGATGGTTTATGGCATATGGCATTGGGTTTACCAGTTCACATATGATGACAAATGGATACTGGAAACAACATCACCAATAATTTTCCAATGGATGTGTCCGCGTTCCCCAAACCCAGCTGTTGAATACTTGCGGTCCGGTTGGCCTTTGATGGTGGGATTTGGACCGTGACTGGTTGGGATTTAGACTAGGGAAAGTCTACCAGAATTTGGTGGCTTCTGTCGTATCAATATTAATGATAGATATGTTACCAGTAGTACCGCACAAGGCCGTGGCGGAAGTTTCAAAAATGGGAAACCTATCGGAGAGCTTGGAGAGCTTGGTTGTTGTGAATCACGGATGGCAGAGCGAATCCACTGATGGACTGAAAGGTGGTTGGAGTTGTGTTTTTTGAATGGTTACAATGGTTGCAGTGGTCACCTGGTTGGTCACGTCACCCACAACTGCTGGATGTAGTGTGGTGTAGTGCAGCTGTAGTCGTAGTTGTAGTTGTAGTGTAGCGGAGTTGTAGTTGTGGTGTAGTGTAATTAGTGTAGTGTAGTTGCAGTTGCATTTGTGATGGTGTAATGAGTGTAGTGCAATGTAATGTAGGGTAGTGTAGTTCAGTGCAGTCTAGCGTAGTGTAGTGTAAAGTAGCATAGTTGTACCTGTAGTTGTAGTTAGTGTAGTCTGGTGTGGTGTGGTGTAGTGCAGTGAAATGTAATTAGTGTAGTGTAGTGTACTGTAGTCTAGTGTAGTGTAGTGTGGTGTGGTGTAGTGTGATGTAGTGTAGTTCTAGTTCTAGTTGTAGTGTAGTGTAGTGTAATTGAATGTGGTGGAGTGGAGTGTAGTGTAATGTAGCGGACTGTAGTGTAGTGGAGTGTAGTGTGGTGTAGTGCAGTGTCGTGCAGTGTAATGTAATTAGTGTAGTGTAGTGTAGTGTAATGTAGTTGTAGCTGCAGTTGCAGTTGTAGTTGTAGTTAGTGTAGCGTAGCGTAGCGTAGCGTAGTGTAGTGTAGTGTTGTGTTGTGTTGTGTAATGTTGTGTAATGTTGTGTAGTGGCGTGTAGTGTAGTGGAGTGTAGTGTGGTGTAGCGTAGTGTAGTGTAGCATAATGTAGTTGTAGTTGTAGTGTATTTTAGTGTAACTGAGTGTAGTGTAGTGTAGCGAAGTGAAGCGGAATGTAGTAGCTGTAGTTGCAGTTGCAGTTGCAGTTGCAGTAGCAGTAGCAGTAGCAGTAGTAGTAGTAGTAGTAGTAGAATTAGTAGTAGTTGTTGTTGTTGTTGTTGTTAGTGTATTGTATTGTAGTGTATTGTAGCGTATTGTAGTGTATTGTAGTATAGTGTAGTGTAGTGCAATTGGGTATAGTGTAGCGTAATGTAGTTGCTGTTGGAGTTGTAGTGTAGTGTAATCTTATGTAGTGTAGTGAAGTGAAGCGGAGTGTAGTGTTGTAGTGTTGTAGTGTTGTAGTGTAATTGAATGTAGTGTAGTGTACTTGAGTGTAGCGTAGTGTAATGTAGTGTAGTTGTAGTTGTAGTTGTAGTTGTGGTGCGGTGTAGCGGAGTGGAGTGTAGTGTAATACATCTGAACCGTGGTTTTGTATGTTGTTAAACATTTTGACTTGGAAATGTGCTTCGCGCCACAACGGCGTGCACTTTTTCAACATCTCAACGTCCAAAAGTGCCCCGAACCCCTCAGTTTTTTACACTTTTGACTTCGAAATGTGCTTCGCCCCACAACCGGGTGCACTTTTTCGACATCTCAACTTCAAAAAGTGCTCCGAAGCTGGTGTGGTTTGTACATTTTGACTTCGAAATGTGCGTGGCCCCACAAAAGCTTGCACTTTTTCAACATCTCAACTTCAAAAAGTGCTCCGAAGCTGGTGTGGCTTGTACATTTTGACTTGGACATGTGCTTTGCACCACAACGGCATTTACTTTTTCAACATCTCAACTTCCAAAAGTGGTCCGAGACCGTCAGTTTTTAGCACTTTTGACTTGGACATGTGCTTCGCGCCACACCGGCGTGCACTTTCTTGACGTCTCAACTTCCAAAAGTGGTCCGAGCATGGTGTGTTTTGTACACTTTGACTTGGAAATGTGCTTCGCGCCATAACGGCGTGCAATTTTTCATCTCTCATCTGGCCAGATGTCTCCTTACCCGCCGCTTTAGGGAGCCTACTTTTTGACCCTCAGGAGCCACAAATCATTGGAAAAACACAGTGTTTCGCGACTTTCCTACCTTTTCGCGCACCTGCATTTTCTTTCCTCTCATTCTTTCTCTTCTCTGATCTTCTCTCTTCTTCTCTTCTCCTCTCTACTCTTCCCGCCTCTGCTTTTCCATCTGTCCATCTGGTCGGAAGTTTGACTTCTAAACTTCCTTCGATGATATGTGATATATCGATGTCTATCCGTATTTCCCATCCTCAAACTTTAACATTGATTTGTTAACATTGCGTGGTAATGACCAAATCATGCGGATCATGCCGACAACTATACCATTGATCAAGCCACGTGGCCGTTTGGGATATGATCTTGGGATCCAGGCTTGCAGGGTCAAGTTGGACAGTGCTTGGGGGATGGGAATCATCCATCCATGTTCAGTTCGGGATTTATAGATCCATGATGTGTGGATTCCCATGAAATGGGAGGACCATATACCACATACCATCATATACCATGTTTTGACCATGACATAAATCGAACGAAACACAATAAAATCTTTAGGGAATACGTCAACTTCAAACGAATAAAACTAAAGATTGAGCATCTCCCAGCCAGCATAGACCCTGCCATCAGTCGAAGGGTGGGAAGTTTAGTTTCCACTCAAATTACTATGTTCAGGGTCACACTGTGAATTTGCCTAGCCAAATATGCTTTCAGTTTGCCAGTTGGACTTAGAAATCGGGATCAAATATACATGCATAATTGGTAAATCCCATCTATATCCCCATTAAATCACAATAAATCCCATTTAACCCCATAAAATCCCCGCTATATCTCCATTAAATCACTACCAGTAGTACCGCACAAGGCGGTGGCGGAAGTTTCAAAAATAGGAAACCTATAGGAGAGGTTGGTTGTTGTGAGCCGCGGATGCCAGAGCGAAGCCACTGATGGACCGACAGGTTGTTGAGGTCTCCTCTCTTCCTCTCTCTTTCTTTCTCTTTCTCTGACTATCTACCTACCTACCTATCTATCATCTATCTACCAATCTATCTCTCTATCTATCTATCTATCTATCTATCTTTCTATCTGTCTATCTAACTATGTATCTATCTATCTATCTATCTATCTATCTATCTATCTATCTATCTCTCTCTCTCTCTCATCTCTCTATCTGACTATGTATCTATCTATCTACCTATCTACCTATCTACCTATCTACCTATCTATCTATCGATCTATCGATCGATCTATCGATCTATCGATCTATCGATCTATCGATCTATCTATCTATCTATCTCTCTCTCTCTCTCTCTCTGTTTGTCTGCCTGCCTGCCTGTCTGTCTATCTATCTATCTATCTATCTATCTATCTATCTGTCTATCTGCAAGCTTGAAAACGAAGCTATTCTGCGAGACGTCCTCAGCTTTTGAACTTGACAACATCAAAAACGCAGAAATTTTGCGAGATGTCCTCAATGTTTGAACTTGACAACGTCAAAAACGAAGCAATTCCGCGAGACTTCCTCATTTTTCGAAGTTGACAACAAAAAAACGAAATGGAAAGTTGCGTGCAGAGCTGATGGCCTCGTACCAATGCGAAATTACCGTGCCTGCCACGAAAAAGTGATGCCAAGTCATACGAACTGCTGCACCTGTCACGCAAAGTCATCTCAGCAAACCTGAAGATCTGATGCTCCAAAATGCAACCCCTCTCAGGAAATCACCGCCCAGACCTCCTAACAACTCTGATGAAGATGTCTCTTGTACTGCGCCTGCCACGAAAAATGCTTCTTTGCAGATCCTCTTCAAATGTCCCATGCCTGCCATAGTTTTTGGAAATGCCACAAAACCCTCACGTTTTGCTCACTTTTGACAAGGTCCACAATCCCTTGCGCCTGCCACGCGAAACGACATCTAACCTCCAAAAATGGTCCGTACATGGTGTGTTTTGTGCATGTTTACTTGGAAATGTGCTTCGCACCACAACGACGTGCACTTTTTCGACATCTCAACTTCCAAAAGTGGTCCGGAGCAGAGGTGTTTTGTACATTTTGACTTGCAAATGTGCTTCGCGCCACAACAGCGTGCATTTTTTCGACATCTCAACTTCCAAAAGTGGTCCGAGCATGGTGCGCTTTGTACACTTTGACTTAGAAATGTGCTTCGCGCCACAACGGCGTGCAATTTTTCATCTCTCATCTGGCCAGCTGGCTCCGCACCCGCCGCTTTAGCGAGCCTACTTTTCGACCCTGCGGAGCCACAAATCATTGGAAAAACAGTGTTTCGCGACTTTCCTACCTTTTCGCGCACCTGCATTTTCTTTCTTCTGACTCTTTCTCTTCTCTCTGACTCTTCCCATCTCTGCTTTTCATCTGTCCATATTGTCGGAAGTTTGACTTCTAAACTTCCTTCGATAAATCCCACTAAATCCCGTTAAATTCCATGTTTCTGCAGTTTGGGCGTCGAAAGCCTCCTCATTATCATCGAAACAACCAGGCGAAGTTCGACCTTTGATCACCACCCATCGAGGTGGTCCCCAAAGGCAGGAAACGAACAGAACTATGGAGAATCATCTAGAAATTTTGATTACCGTAATCAAACCTGGTTTGCTGGAAGAAATCCCTCAATTTGGTTCGATGTTTTTCTTCCAGGGGATTTCCCAGCTTGCCGCAGTTGATGACACCGGAGGGTTTCCAACATTAATCCAACCATTGCTCTTCTCAGAGCCGGAAAACCCGTTTAAAAAATTGATTTCGCCAAGCATAAAGGGGAATTTAATGAAGTTTGACCAGCAACAAAAAAGGAGATAGTCTCAGATAGCCAACAAAAAAATTTGGTTGAACCACTCGAAATTATCACTTTGGACAGGTTGAATCAACAATTGGGGTTTTCACAGGTATGGGAATAGAAGCAGGCACAGGCCAAACATCGTTCTTGATGGTGAAACATGTAGGGGGGTTAAACATAATCAATGGGGAGATTCGCCAAAAAAGTATAATATGGGGGGTTAGTTTGAAATCCAGAAGAATTGGTAAGACGATGTGTTTTATTTCAACTGGTTTCATGGGGTTTCGATATTGACATATGTTGGCTAATCTAACAGGAGAATCCTGACCTCAATCCGTAGAGATGGTGATGCACCTGGGAAATGATGATAATCCATAGGGCTGTTGAGGTACCCAATTTTTAGCCAGTATGATCTGATTTAGCCAAGCAATTTTTAGTGATATTGTGCATCCTGTTTGTCAAAACATGACTAGGTTTGCAAGATGCAGTACTTGAGTGGTTTTCACTGCCATCAATCAGCAGCTGGTGGAACTTCAAGATGTATGGAGATTCCCACTTCCAGCAAGTACCTTCCACAAATAGGACACACAAGTTCAGTGGTTGTATAAAGTACACCATCCACAGAATATATCACCATTTCGTTCAAGGAGAAACTCCAGCCAGTCACGTTTGATACTCGACACCTGGCTCGACACCTGGTGGCTGTTTCAGTGCCTCAGCTATCTCGAAGGATTGAACTTTTTGAGAACCGGAAAGGGTATGTATGATGTGGGAAAGGAGCCAAGCCATACCCAATGTTAGCATTTGGAGCTGCGATAAACCAGAATAATTAAACCATACCCAATGGCGATATTTGGTTGGAAATAAGGCGCTCAAACCATCTTAAACTTCATTCTTGTTGGTGGAATCCACATTTCTAGAAGTTTTAAACCTGTTGGTTTTCATCCCGCGGTTTCCCCCCACTCTCCAGCCTTTCCCTTTTCCATACACAGGCCGGTCGTGTTCCGCTGAGCTTCCCGCATGCTCTAGCGGCGCGGTCGGATTTCAAACGACAACGCCAGGGTGGGAGCGTTGCCCGTCATGTTTGCGCCACATACTGCCTAAATCTTAGCATGACTTGCTTGAAAATCACCCTTTTGTAAATGTTGCTCCCATTTGAACCAGCATTTTGGGGGAATTTGCCATTACCATGTTTGACTACTGGAGGTTCTCTGATTGGTGGTTTCTAAGAGATCTTGATCCCAATTAGCAAATTTTCTTCAGGGTGTTTGTCGCTCAACCACGAAGCAGTTATTGTCATGCTTCAAGGTTATAATGCACCCCAAAAAATTGATGATTTCATGCTAAACAAAATCAATTTTGCAGGTCCATTGGTAGCCCATTTCGACTCTGCTCAAAATGTGTTAACACTCAGGGAACGTTTGAACATGTTTGGGATGAAGATCCAGCTGTACCGCAGTTTTTTTTTCGAAAACTAATGGTTCCAGACTGTTGATCCATAGCTGTTAGTGAAATCGCTAAATAGTGTTCTTGACATAGAAGTACGGTACGTTTAGTTTAGTGCAGTGTTTATGTGATGTTTAGTGTCTTTTTTTGATCCCATTTTGAAATCACTCGCATCTGCCCCAAAAGTTGTTGCTGGCATGACACACCCATTGCTTCGGAGCCAACATGTCGAGAAAATCCAATGTTCCATGTCGGCAAATGAGAGAATGAGAGAAACTCTGAGTGATGCGTTTCCAGGGGCAGCCGAACATGGGCCAAACTGCCCAGTTCAGGAGGGTGTTTCCAGTTATGTAAAACCCATCCAAAAAATCATGTCATTTTATCAAGTTGGCTCATCTCCCAAACTGGGGAGATAAAAGTGGAAATGGATATATAAGATATGAACCATGATGAAAATATGAGACCAGAAATTGATTCTCCATGACTCTAGCCGGTTTTGTTTGGAACAAAATGACTTCAACCACAGTGGCCCTACAGTTTCCAGAATTCTGGCTGAAATTAGAAGGATATGTGGGACGACTCTCAGGCCTGTGCTGGAAGCTCGTGCACTGATTTCGCAGCGTTTCTGCTGCTGCGGCCCCATTCAGAGAATTAGAATCTGAGTTAAGGGAAAGATGAATCTCCAATCACCACTGGTTCAGTTTGATGGAAATCTGGAAGAATCGTACAGGGTACTGATGCCACGACTTTTCGGATCAATTGCATGCGTTTTGCTGTGGTTTCCTTATTGGTTCCAGAATCCAACTTCTTGGAAGCCCTGTCAGTACCGAGATGTCACTAAGCCACAATACCACAAAAGGAAATCCCATATTCCACGCAAGATTCAGAAATCATTCGGAATCTCTGTGCGTCACACGGATGTCACAATCGCAGTACTAGGGTTTTACTTACGATCAATACTACTGTAGCAAAAAGATAAAAAGATAGATTGTAGATGATTACTAGTAAAGGTTCAATACAAAATCGTCCACATGGTAGATTTTATAGGTATCTATTTGTAGATCATCCACTGATTGCAGGTATATAGTGGAGCTAGATTCTAGATCTGAATGGGGGGGTGTTCGCTAGTGCCTTGCCACGGATCAAAACGGTCCTGGCGAGCGGCTGCTGGTTCATTGCGTCTCGTTTTAAGCTGAGGAGGCTAAAAAGGTTCTAATGTCTAATTCGGGGTGCAGTGCCACTCAGAACTGCTTATATACCCTATACTTCTATATCCACAATTTTAGGGTCCCACATCTCAACATGCGGGTTTCTTACCATGATTGCAGCCATCAATAGCCCGAACTGCGCCCCCCCAGATAATTTCAGATCCAGGAAAATCGTTCTATCAATGCAGAAGAAAGCAAGCAACACGGCCCTCACCTCGTTGCTGTGAGACCCGCAGCGGAAAGTATTGAACCATATTGAACCATTGCACACCTGGAAATCTTCAGCCTTGAATTACCCTCTCACACCTTAAGGTCAAAACATTTATCTCTAAATTTTGATTTTCAAACCTTTAATTTTGAATTTTGAACCTCAAACCTTCAAATTATTCAACGATAAATCAAAATCTATTAATATAAATCATATATTAAAAAACATACTAAACAATTATATATTCTTTACGGATAAATTACTATTAATATTATGGGAAGATTTGTACGGAACGCGCGCGCGCGACTGCCCCGACCGAAAAAAAAAAACTAATAATAAATTATTATATTATATATTTATTTGGTATTCGTAAAAAAAAAATCGAAATATTGGATCGAATTTATTATTATTTCTAAATTATCGCGGACTGCTTTGGGTGGCAGTGGTGCACAGCAGCGATGCAGTGGAGCCCCCGCCAAGGTCTATGAGGTCTCATGCCGGGCGCGCAAGGTCGGAAGCCTTTCGGAATTTTGTCTGACCCGCGGCCGAAAGACAGCGAGAAGCCAAACTGCGCAGCATGGTTGAGTTTGTACAACATGCTAGTCCATCTGCAGGCAGTATCAAACCGGCTTCAGGCTTACGTATGCACTTCAAAATATGGTGTTCCAAGCCTAGGATTTGGAGGTTTTTTCCAAAAATAAAACGAATTACCTGAATCAAAGCAGCAAGAGTAGGCTTCAACAGAACCGCACTGTAGGGCTTCAAATCCCAGCGTAAAATATTGGTATTCCAAAAAGGGAAGGGTAAATTGATTTTATGCATGAGTCAGCTGATGACTTAATGTAAAAAAACACATTAAAAAGTGCACAAACAAATTCTATGGAATATTTCAATTGTGCTTCTGATGAACTGAGCTGAGCATTCTAACTGATGGGTAAAGCGTCTGGAAAGCGCCATCGAAATGCCCAATTCTTGCCATTGAAAAGATTTATTAAGAGTCAAGTCCACTACTTCTGCCTCAGCGGTCTTAGCATCTGCAACTTGGAATCAAAATCTCCTGAGAAGACGAAGTCGAGACCAGAGGGCAAAGTGTTGCTGAGCGTTTGTCTTCAGGCGCTGATAGTCCATGCTGCGAGACACATTGGCGTAGACCGCCAAGGCTATCTGCTATGTCATTCTAAGTTGCCTGCCACTCTTCCTGATCTGAAGTGCAAAGGATAGCATTAAGATGTGATGGAGTCCAGCAGGCACAGAAGTTGCCTTCAGGGATATCTGCCAACAGAGCTTCGACTTGTTGCCACAGATCATGGTTGTCATACGTAGTGCTCCATGTAACACCTAATTATCGCATTGTAAGGCCACAATACCATCTACTGTTGATTTCGAATTACTCCAAAGGCAAATTTTAGCTTGGTACTGGATAATCTACTTAAGCGCAGCAATGGCACCACATAGTTCAGCTCGAGGAATGCTCTGCGCTTGGTCATGCAGCTGGCCCGAGCTAATTGGTTGACTAAAGACTATGCTCCAACCCCCAACATTTTTGGGGTACGGGGAAAAAACGAATCATTAGAAAACACATGTTACAAACCCTCTCCTGGTATAGAGTGAAAGTTGCCAATGGTGTCCTCCAGTGCCTGAAGGTAGTCCTTCATCTCCACTTCGTAGGGGTTACGAGGCATTAAAAGATGAGAAAGAGCACGATCTGGTACCTCATGGATCCAGCTGAAGGGTTCTATCATCTCATCGCGGATGTGCTCAAATTTGGGGCATTCAAACTACTGCTATTGGGTGCTGGGCACCAAGCAGTGTGAGCAAATCTGTGGCTTCGAAGGTCATACTTCGAGTGGCTCCAGTTAGAAAGAAATGCTCCTGATTGCAATGCCATTGTTCTGCTTAACTCCAGCGGTGTCATAGTGTTGCGATCTAAGAGTGTGAGCTCTATAGGTGCAACCCGTGGAGGTCACGCAACAACTTGTGCTCGAATCCGTTATGATTTACAAATTGGGGCGGTATTTGAATGGACCATCCAATTTGGCTGAAAAATTCCACCAACTTATAGAATGGCCCTTTCAGTTTCCGCCTACAAAAATGCGCCATGAACTGTCTCCATTGCACCAAAATATCTGGAGATTTGCTGCAAATTCACTTGAAATCAAAAATGCAGTGCCGAAGGTGGTAAAACCTAGGGTCTGCTGTTATAGGAGCTGAAAGCGAAAGCCGGAATAGAGGATTTGAGCCTCCTATTCTAAGACCCAATGCGGCAACTGCTTTTTTTCTTAATTGGTACAAGTGGTTCTTAGCAAAAACGCAGCCCAGCGCACCATGAAGTGCTGAAGCCCAGAAAACCATTGGCAAAACCATCAGTTTTTGGGAGCTTGGTGCCTTTGAAATACGAAGGCGTGCCCATTTCTGCTCAAGGCGTGAGCCTCTCTTTAAAAAGATACGAACTCTCGCTGCCGCACTAAAAATAAGAGAGCCACCAAGCTCGGAAACATCCTTAACTACACGTAGGCCCAAAGGTCCCAACATTGCCCTTGTTTGAGGTATGGTACCCCCTTAACTACACGTAGGCCCAAAGGTCCCAACATTGCCCTTGTTTGAGGTATGGTACCCCATGTGTATGACTTATTGATGTTAATTTCCAATCCCCATAGCTCCAAAAAGGCGCGCAGTGAGAAGAAGGCCCAAACCAAATGCATTACCTGTCGGGACATCATAGAGATGTTATTAATAAATGACATTGTCCTTGTCAAAGGTGCGTACTGTACTTGGTAAACATGTAGTGCCCAATCAAGTATTACCATCGCCGGCATACTTAAAGGATCACCTTCTGTAAATCCAACATCTGATTTCAGGGGCTCATTCAAATGATTGTGCACTTGGAAGCTGGTAAAAAATGAAAAGAAACGCTGCCAAGGTTTCAGAATTCGCTTTGGTAGTTTGAGATGTTGTGTTAGCTTGAGATGTTGTGTTAGCTTGAACCATTGCGGACTTTTGATGTTGTTGAATACCTTGACAAAATTTACCGCCATATTAGCCAAGGCTTGACCCGTTTGAAGTATCATCTCGACACTGGCCTGGATTTGTAGTCATGATTACATGGCCTCTCTCCCCGCAAGAAGCCGAAAGCATCTGAGTGAACAAAACTTTCTATCAGCCGCAAGAGCTGTCTGGATCGCAGTGAGCCCCAACATCGGTAGATGATAGAGAAAAGCACGATGGGACGATACGAGCCAGGCTCATGTGCATTATTGTGCTTTGCGAGTGCCAGCACAAGGCATGTTGCAGCTGAAGTGGCCAGTCCAGATCTTCAAACTCAATTCTTATCAAAAAATGAAGCAGCCATGCTACATGTGAAGGAGATATGTATAAGAGGTCTCTTTTGGCAAATCCATCTGCGCCCCTCGCCGCAGTTGGCTTGAATCTTTTGACAGTCCGTATCCATTGTGCCGGCGTGATGTCCGGCAACTCAAACTGAAAATTTGGCATACTACTCTGTATGAAGCCCATGATACGACTCCAGTGATCCGGTTCTACTTCATGTAATTGTTGCCATCGTGGTTTCCAGAGGGCGATTAATTGATCGTGGATTTGGGTATCCGAGCTAGTTTGGGTTGATTATATGATGATATCCCCAACCTTAATGTAAGGCCACATGGTAAAGACAAGAAGTTCGTTAATTACGGAAAGGCCACAACCGTTGCGATACCAGGTAGATCTTTCCATAGGCTTGATTGGTTGATCTAAAAAAATTGCATTGGAATGTGGTCTGATAACTAGGACTATATAGGTCTTGGCATTCTAAAGGCTATTAATTTGATTCGGTGATGGATTACGTAAGTCCTTGAAGATTACCTGATGTGATTTGTCGTACTTTATTTGAATTAGGCGATTTTTTTACGAAAGATGCTATCGTTTGAAAGCTCGGAAAGTATGATGGAAAGCATCATAAATCAGCTTGGCTTGTTCAGTATCTGGAGCTTGCAATGGGAGTGGTCCTATGGCATAAACAAAATATAATAAAATCCTGCTGTTCCCACCAAGCTGAAAAACCTCCTTGAAAGCCCGATGCCCTCCGTATAGAGGTCCATAGTTCAGCCCTGTAGATTATTGTGTCATTATTCAATTTACCTGCCTTGATCGAGTGGTAATAGGACTGAATTCGACGCAATTGGCGAAACCATTGTAGAACCGCTGCTCCTACTAAGTCGTGGGTCAGGGCTACTTTACCTGGACGGCTGGCACGGCAT